CCCTAAATAAATATTCTTTCCATTTAGCATCTGTTCTCTGCCACTAAGAGTATATCCACTGCTGTCTGCGACTAAGAGTGCCTACAAATGTTTTGAAGCCTCACTCTAACTCATGGCATTTTACACAAAGCACCATAAGTTAGAGCATCTGACGCAACAAATGTTCTCCTATTGGGTCGGGGGGGCTTGAGCCTGCCTGCACCAGCCCTAACCAGCAGGCTGGGGAATACCAGCAGCCTCTGAGGAGGCTGCCAAACCACCTCTCTCCCCATCCGCCCTCCCCCCCCAGCTCTGGGGCTGTCAACAGGGGAGGGAGGAGGAGGGAGCAGCAGGTAGCTGCCAACTGGGCTTTCTCTGCCTGGAGCTTGAGGTGTGGAGCAGGGTGGAATGGAGCCCTTGTTACACAAATTGCCAACTGCTTAAATTATGAGTGAGACTTTATACAGGGGGATAAGGCAAGGTGCTATGTTTATTGATTACATGAGTTAGACATAGAGGTTTGGACACACCATTTATACAAACACACATAAGTTGTTATACACATTATTACACACAGGCATATACGTACACAAAACAACTTTTATTTACACATACACAAGATATAGTTACCAGCAATAGTTGCTCAATATCAGCCCAGGGTGGCTAACCCGGGCTTATTGAGTAGATGATGATGATTTGAAGATAGCAGATTTGAAGATAACAGCTGGAGCGGGGTGAACAGATGGATTTTTGCTCCATTGAAACAGCAGTAGAGAAAGAGACTCACCCAACTTGGCATTTTTAAAGTGTTTTTTATAGAGACTGGCATCTTTTGGGGTTTTTGGAGGGTTTTTTTTTTTTTTTTTTTTTATAGAGATTGGCATCCTTTGGGGTGCTGTGGGGTTTTTTTCATACCCAGCTTCAGTTTTTGCAGTTGTTTTTTTTTTTTTTGTCTTCAGCTTATTTCAGGCTTGGAGTGTTGTTGCTGCCCATCTGGCAGGATGGGTGCATTTCCTTTTCCTCATTATTTTCTTTCTGCCCTAGGTCTAAAAGGGATTCTGCAGCCATTTATTAATTAGTTTACTGACTGGTAACTTACATTTGGTGCCTTGTTGCTTACATAAACAATTACATTTTTTTTCTCCCATCTCTGTGTCATTTTTTTACCATTCACCCTTTTACACACACTCATACATAAAGGCTATGCAAAGTTCATTTACTTATGTCAAGCAGAAGGATACAAAATGGAGTTTTCAAGTTCCTTACAGGGCAAGACTAACATGGTTACATGTTACTACTATCACACTTTATGTTAATATCAGCTGCATTAGTTCAGTTCATGCTAAACCCTCCCGCCTTGCAGGACACCCCCCAGCTACCCTGGATGGGGTACTGGGGGGAGCCAGACTGGATCTGTGAGGCAAAGACTCCAATCCACACGTCCTCCCCAGCTTTGGCCAGGCAAAGCAGAGCCAGTAGTTTTTGCCACCAGTGTCAAGAGGCCCAGGTGAGAGGTGGGGGAAGGGAATTGCCCCCCCCACCCTTGCCTCATGGGTCCAGCCCAACTCCCCTCAATATCCTGGAGTAGCTGGGAAGGGCCCATGAAGCAAGGAGGGCTCCCTTCCCCATCCCCCCCCAACACTTTGGCCTCTTGGCAGTGTTACTAGCAGCAGCAGCAGCTGCTGCCGTCTCAGCTTTGCCTGGCCAGAGCTGGTGGGGGAAGGCTGGATGGAACAGAGCACCCTCACGTTGTGGGCCCAGCCCAGCTCCCCCCAGTACTGCAGCCAGGGTAGTTTTGAGGGGGGTGCAAGGTGAGGGGGTTCTTTTCCAATCCCCTCCCCCCCTCCAGCTGTGACTAGGCAAAGCTGAGCTGGCAGCTGCCTGCTGCTCCCTCTCCCCTCACCTCCACTCCCCCTCCTTTTCTCCTTCCCCCTCTCTCTCCTTTCCCCTCTGACATCCCCATAAAGCACAAAAAAATAACCCTTGATGGAACGCAAGTTCCCCAAGGCACTCTGCTTTAGAATACCTTCATCTAATACATGATTTGATGAGGGTCAATTTCTCATACAATCAGCCATTTTAAAAGCATTCTGTAACCTTGTATATGTGCTACCTCATGGCTGTAGAGCACTTTCAGAGGCTGATCATGTGAAAAAAATTAAATTTTATAAGTGCCCATCGAAAATGCAGCTACAGAAAGCAGTATGTCATGTTGGGTGTTAGTGGTAGGTAGCTCCATTCTGTGGGGAGTGGAGACATCCATCTGCCAGCCTGACCTCTTGCCTTGGGAAGACTGCTTTCCACCAGGAGCCTACACCCAAGACGTGACAGAAAAGTTGCTGAGACTCATCTGCTTCTCTGACTACTGCCCCATGCTGCTCACCTATGCAAGGGCATGCAGGATGAAAATCAGTAAAGCCAAGACACTTAGAGATGCAAATAGCAAGGAACATAAAAGGCAATAAAAGGGGATTATACAAGTATTCAATAGTAAGAGGTAGATCAAAGAAGTTCCTTGCAGAAAGCAGGAGGCAGTTTAGTTGCCGATGATGCAGAGGATTCTGAATCTATTTAGTCCCTTTTTTGTTTCAGCCTTCACAAATAAAGATAGCTATCAGATAAGTGTAGCTGGCAGGAAAGTTAGGGAAGGAGGCAAGCAACTTTAAGAATAGTGGAAGAACAGGTTAGGGATTACTTGGAGGAGCCAGATGCTTTCAGGTCAGCAAGGCTGGATGGAATATATTCTAAAATAATGAAGGAGTTAGCTAAGGAAATTTCAGAACCAATGGCTATCATGTTTGAGAACTTTTTTTTTTTTTTGAGACTCAGATCAGAAGATGCACGGCAAATGCCCATCTTTTAAAAAGGGAAGGAGGAGGATCCAGGGGAGTTATAGACTGGTCAGTCTGACCTCGATACCTGGAAAGACTACAGATCAGGTCGTCAAAGAATCTATTTCAAGGCACCTAGAGTGCTGAACGAGGTGATCAGGAACAGCCAACATGCATTCATCAAGAACAAGCCATGCCTGATCAACTTGATTTCTATGATATGGCATTAGGTTTGGTGGATGGGGGAGAGAGAAGAGTATGTGATATACCTTGGTTTTTAGCAAAACTTTGAACATTGTCTCCAAAAACATTCTCATTAATAAGCTAAGGAAAAACAGACTAGAGGAATATGCTTCCAGGTGAATACAGGCTGGATCATTGTGCTCAACAAATAGTTAACAATGTCTCAGTGTCTAACTGGGAGATGTTCTTCATGAGTTTGGAATCATGTAACATGTTCATTAATAATTTGGATGCTGGGATTGAGTGCATGCTTAGCCAATTTATGGATGGTACCAATTTGGGTGAAGTTGCAGACACTCTGGAAGGTAGGGCTAGGACCCAGAATGACCTGGATAGACTAGAACAAATGGTCTGTAATCAACCAGATGTAATTCAGCAAGAACGTGTGCAACGTTCTGCACTTCGCATAGAATAAATGCATGTATAAATATGGACTGGGGAATGATTGGTTAAGCCAAGTATTTCAGAAAAGGACCTGGGGGTTACATTGAACCATCAGCTGAACGTGAGGCAACAGCGTGCTCTTGCTATAAAAAAAATACCAGCATACTGTCTTGTATTAACAGAAGAATCCCTTGCAAATCAAAGAACAGATTAATTCTGCTCTATTTGGCATTGGTGAGGTCTCACCTCATGTGCTGTGTTTAGTTTTGGGTCCCATACTTCAAGAAAGATGTGGCCAGATTGTGGACAGAGTCCAGTGTAGAGTGACAAAAATTATTAGAGCCCTGGTAAGTGTGATTTATTAGGAAAGGCTGAACTAAGATTTTTTAGTCTGGAGAAGAGAAGCCTGACAGGGATTTTATCACAGTGTTCAAATACCTAAAGAATGGTTATTAAGAAGATTGAGACTATCTTCTGCTGCTGTAGGGGGCAAGTCTAGGATCAATGGCCTCAAATTGCAGCAGAGGAAATTTAAGTTGGAGATTAGAAAGATCTTTCTTACTGTGAAGGCGGTCAAGCATTGGAACTGACTATGTAGAAAAGTTTTGGAATCTCCATCCCTGGACATTTTCAAGAGCAGGCTAGACAGATACTTGACTGAGATGGTTTGCTCAGGGATAATCCTACCTTGAGCAGGGGCTCAACCAGATGGCCTTATGAGTTCCCATCCAGTCATTTGGTCCTATGATGGTTTGTCTTGTGTCTGCTCCCAGCAGAGCAGAAACTCCCCTTGCTTGTCATCAGTTTCATCCAATTAATCTTAAATGTAAGGGTGCAGTGACTCAGCTTCAGGAGAACAATCTAGGTAATGCCTAACCTGTGGCCAAATGATGAGAATACTGTGCGTGGAAGTCAGAGAACTTCAGGTTTTCAGGGAAGGAGTAGGGAGGAGAACCACATCCTCAGGATGTGTGTGAACACTTACAAATACCAACATTTGCACTTACGTGCCTGGGTGTTTCATAGTAGTTAGGGATCAGAAGGGACCTGAATAGATCTAGTCTAATCCCCCATCACTGGTCAGAGCACATGCTGGGATCACACAACCGCAGACAGGTGTTCATCCAACCTCTTTTTGAGTAATTCTCAGCCAGGGCATTGTAGCATCCTGTGGTTCAAGTGAAAGCCTTTTTAGGGTGCTATGGGGTGCAACAAAATATTAGCAGTGTTAGGTGTGCAAATGTCTACATGATTCACAAGATAAACTCAAAGATATCAAATAGGAAACCATACTGTCAAAAATATTTTGATCTATTGTGGTCTTTCTGAGTTCTTTTCAGCAGCAGATTTGCTATATTATTTTTCCATAGTTAAAAAAATTCTTGAAAATTAAGATCTGACATTGTCCAAGGGGTGCCTTAAGTCTAATGAATGGTACCTTGAATCTAAAAAGTTTGAGAACCACTGCTTTAACCATTGCAAAATGGCAAAACTTTAATAGCTGGTAGCTGTAATAAATGTTTCAGAATCTCAGTTATTAAGTAGTTTACTAAACTTTTCCAGGCTCTGGCATCCATGGAGGAGTTCCGGAATTTAGATCGGGATATTGAAGGGTCTGCTAAACGCTGGAAAAAATTTGTAGAATCTGAATGTCCTGAAAAGGAGAAGTTCCCTCAGGAGTGGAAGAACAAGTCAGCTCTGCAGCGACTGTGCATAATGAGAGCCATTCGGCCTGACCGCATGACATACGCTGTCCGGTGAGAGATTTATAATTTAGAAGATTACTTTTTGACAGTGTAATCAGGAAATGAGGTAAATCACAGTATTGCCAACCCTACTGTGTCAAAAATCATAAGACAAATTCTTACAAATCAAGAGATTTGAAATGTCAATTATGAGATTCTGTTTTTGAAGTATGTGTGTTTATGTGCAGAGGGGTGTTAGTTGTGAAGGTGTGTGGGGCTGTGGGTGTGTGTGGGGGGGGGTTGGAGCCTGGAGAGGGGGGGTCACCATACACCCTGGCAGGATGCAGGGTCCTGTGGGTCAGGAGTGAGGAGCAGCAGCAGGGTTGGGGGTGCTGTGGCTTGGGAGTGAGGG